CTACTAAAGCTACTTATTAACTGAGATTAATAATATAGATATATAGAACTGATATATTGTTTGCATAAGGTATGCAGCATTCTCACATTAATAGATTAATATATTTCTATAATTGTTATAGGAAAAAATGTTCAGAGGCCTTTTAAATGTATACCAAACACCTTTTTTTTCTGCACGTGTTAAAATGTACTATTTTTGTTGATATGGTTATTGATAATAAATTTCGATAATGTAGCGGATTCACTCCTGCATTTAAATGCAGCTGCATGATAAATAAATCTTTTACTCAAATCTTAAAGGGTTAGTTCACCCAAAATGAAAATTCTATCATTAATTACTCACCCTCATGTCGTTCCAAACCCGTAAGATCTTTGTTCATCTTTGGAACACAAATTAAGATATTTTTGATAAAATCCGAGAGCTCTCTGACCCTCCATAGACAGCAAGGTAACTACCACAGTCAAGGCACAGAAACGTAGCAAGGACATCCTTAAAATGGTCCATGTAACATCACGCTCGAACTGATTCGCTGAAATCAAAACAGGGACGATAATAGGTGCGCACCAGCCAATGAGATTGCCGTTTGCGCATTAGTTCCGCCAACTACCGGAAAACCCGGCAGTTCTTAAAAGCTAAAGAATTCCAAAGGAACGCTGTTATTTTGACAAGAAAATACAACAAAGAATATCGTTTACATGTAGCGCGTCAATTCTCTCTCTCTCTCTGCGTGTGTGTAAGTCAAAGTGGCGCCTTCACACTAGAATTTACGGTACGTTAAATACAGGTGCGCTGCGCATCCATTTAACTGAAAAACGGCACAGATCGCTTGACGGAAAAATTGTATTTGTGACAAATATTAAGTAATGTGAAAATATTGACATTTAGTAGCCTATATAAATCCATATTGAACAGGCTACCACTTTTATTGCTCCAATGCAAAGTTAACCACCTATTCTTTATTTTAAGATAATATAGCACGATTTTTACTGGTTTGCTGATTTGCACTTTATTCATATTACAATATATTACAGTTTTACAAACAAGCTCACTGAAATGCTAACAGCTTTGATTTTGCTGGCACTAAAAGAGTGTGATATGAGTTTTATGTAATCTTCTTGTTTGGACTGAAACAGAGACGAGGCTCACAGAGGTGCCTTTGTTTAAAGTCCAAATGAGAGCAGGAAGAAAGTGAACATCAGGTTACTTATAGTTTTAGCCTTTGATATTTCCCGCTTGTGTTAACAACACTTATCAATGTCTGTGTAAATGATTAATTCATTTTTTTTTTCTTTTTAATCTTTTCTTGTAGAGGTCGTCTGCTTCATGGCCGACATTTCACATATAAAAGCATTAATGGAGACACGGCAATCACCTTCGTATCCACTGGGGTAGAAGGGGCCTTTGCCACAGATGAGCATCCGTATGCTGCGCATGGACCATGGCTACAGGTAACAGTCATGCATTACTATTACATCCCTTGAAGGAATAGTTCACCCAAAAATGAAAATTTGCTGAACATTTTACTCACCTTCAGGCCATCCAAGATGTAAATGAGTTTGTTTCTTCATCTGAACAGATTTAGAGAAATTTTGCATCACATCACTTGCTCACCAATGGATCCTCTGCAGTGAATGGGTGCCGTCAGAAAGAGAGTCTAAACAGCTGATAAAAACATAACAATAATCCACACGACTCCAGTCTTATCAATTAACGTCTTGTGCTGCGAAAAGTCAAGATGCCTCCAGCTAAAATACAAGTCCTCTATCCGTAATATTGCTTTCTCCAGTGAAGCCCATTCACTGCAGAGGATTCATTGGTGAGCAAATTATGTCATGCTAAACTTCTCCAAATCTTCCATCCAAGACAATCTTCTCCAATCGTCTTGGATGGCCTGGTGGTGAGTGAATTTTCAGCAAATTTTCATTTTTGGGTGAACGATTTCTTTAAAGTTCAGTGTCATTCCATGTGTGTGTGACTTCTGATCTCCTCAATTTAGATACTACTTACTGAGGAGTTTGTAGAGCAGATGCTAGCTGACATTCAGGATTTGAGCACCCGTGAAATGGTAGGATTTTACACCTCCCCTTAAAATGTTTAACTGATTTGATAAACTATTGAATGTTTTTAACACGCTGTATATCTCTTTACCCTCTCACCCAGTCTAAGCTGCCGAAGGAGTACAGCTGGCCCGATAAGAAGCTAAAGATCTCTGTCCTGCCAGACACAGTGTTTGACAGCCCACTGCAGTAAGACTGGGAGCTCACTGTCCCTGATTACAAACCCACAACTACAGAAAGAAGCTCAACTCTTTTGCCTGGCTCATGTGCCTACAGACGGCTGAAGGAAACAGACGTTCAGACACTTCCCCTTTTCCCAGAGAGCATCGTAAATAATTGCACATGACATAGAACATTTTTTAAATATACAACATTTTGTATTGTCCGTTATACCACTTGTCTTTGCATTGGTCTACCTGTTCACTCTTAAAGGGTTAGTTCACCCAAAAATGAAAATTCTGTCATTAATTACTCACCCTCATGTCGTTCCAAACCTGTAAGACCTCCGTTCATCTTCGGGAAAAAGAAAAAAAAAACGACTTTATTCAACAATTCGTCTCCTCCACATCACCTTAGCGCCATTTTGGAGAATATCCACTGAACGTAAATTGCGTATGTTGTTCTGTGTCAGCTGTGCCACGCGAATACTCTGTTTACGTCGTTTATGCTTTGATTTTAATGAAAACAACGTATACGCGTGGCTAGGGGTGTGCGATATTGACAAAAAATTATATCTCGATATTTTATGGGATTTAATCGATAACGATAATTAGACGATATTTTGCTGAGTGTGTTATTGTGCTGGTACCTTAAGGACGGCCGAAGACAGCTGACTCCTAATGTTTTTAATATTCTTCATATTCTGTGTGGTGGTCAGTTCATACTGATAGAAATTAATCTTTTCCAATAAGTTTAAACTGATTTTTGCATTTTATGGGCATTTTTACCTTTATAAAGCCATTTTTTCTAAAAGTGTCCATTATCTTTTGAGTCAAATTCTTACATTTAATCAGGGAATTAGAATAATAAGACATTTGGGCTGTTACCAAGCAAATTAAATCAACACAGAAGCTGCATCTGAAGTGGCATTTAGATGTATTTACACACATGTATTTTGTTTAATGCAAGACTAAAATTACGGTTGAACCCCTGATGTCACATGGATTATTTTACCGATCTCCTTGCTACGTTTCTGGACGTTGATCGTGTAAGGACCCTTGCTGTCTATGGGAGGGTCAGAGAGCTCTCAGATTCCTTCAAAAATATCTTAATTTGTGTTCCGAAGATGAACGAAGGTCTTACAGGTTTGGAACAACATGAGGGTGAGTAATTAATGACAAAATTTTCATTTTTGGGTGAACTATCCCTTTAAGGAAAAAATAATAGTGTTTGATGTTTTTGTTTTTCTGGTCTTAGCCTCAAAAAACATATTTTTCCTGTTGAATGTTTAGCAGCACAAGACAATGTGCAAGCACTGGTGCCTTTATTCACCTTAGAATGGACTGAAGTTTCATTTTAAAAGAAAATTTGTTTTTTTTCTAAATCCTGCTTGTAATGTGAAGGTAAGCATACAAAGGAATATGCCCTTGTTTATCCAAAAAAAAAATTGAGTCAGAGTATCTGGTTTTATTGATTTGCATATATAAAAATAGCTGTACCCATTTAAGGTTGATGAAATTTCATAAGGTCTTCATTTAGTTGTCAAACAATAGGTGGTCAGTTAGTTCACCTACACAATGCCAAAGCTTGTACAGAATGGGTGTTTTCTAAGCCTCGTGTGTAATGAAAAGTTGAGAAGCACAAAATAGTTCCCTGATCTTTCTTTTGTTTATTTTTGTTAACTATTTTACTTGTATTGAACTTTTATTTGACTTTATGATTTAATTCCAAGCCTCTTTATAGGGAAGCAAACTAACTGGTTCCTGGGCAGCAATCTATTTTGTAGAATGTGCATTTGTTATTTTTGGGTTATGTGCTCAATAATATAGGTCAAAGTGTAAAAAAGAACCTCTATTAGTGCTTTTTGAAAGATGAATTTAATTAGTGTACTGGCATTTTTATATTCTGGAGAATCACTACACTGCCTGTGGTTTTGTTACCCTAAAGTGCATTAAAGTTATTTACATAAATCAGGGTGTTTGTGTTGATTTTGGTTACACAACCTGAAAAAAAATGCAGAAAAATTGCCATGACAACCAGGCACTGAAATTCCTCAAAGTGCCAACAGGTCTGCCTCTGACTGGAATTATAAGCCCTGTATCTTGATGCTGTCTCTTTAAGATTCCAATGTAAATGCTCTCTTTGCATTTGAAATAATAACAGCATCCTGGTGGGCTGTTGAGATGCTAGATGGTAGATTCAAACTCAGCTGTTTAACCCTCATGTGGTGTTCGGGTCCTTTTTGCTCTGAAAAATTTTTATTTTTCCCGAAAATACTAGTTAATGTTATCGCATTGGACTGAAGGGCTCAAGTCCAAGTCAAGTCTCGAGTCCTTGCTGTCACAGTCTAAGTCGAGTCTCAAGTCTTCTTTAATTATGTCGAGTCGAGTCGCAAGTCATCAAATTTGGGACTCGAGTCCGAGTCGAGTCTCGAGTCAAGTGACTCGAGTCCACACCCCTGCCTTTAAGAGACTTACTATTGTAAATTACATGCACCGACTCCTCAAACCTAAATTCTGAACCAGCTGTTCTTAAAAAGGTAAGTAGCTAAATAAATATTTTTGTTTTTTCCTCTAAATGAATGTAATTGCACGTTCCTGTTCTTAAACACTTATTAAGCCATCGCTATTGATAAAAGCGGCTTATTTACTGGCGAGAATCCGAGTTTGAGCGTTTGACAGCTCACAAAAAAAAAAAACTAGAGGTGTGTTCCTTTAAATCAAACCCCGCCCCTGATTAATAACCCCACCCACTTTTATGTATGAACTCCGCGCTGATCACGTGATCAGGGAAGGGGGAGTATGTGAACTGTATCCTGAGTTGCAGTCCTGTGCCTGCATTCCTCTCATCTAGGATTAGCTTGAAAGGGGGGAAATATCATAAATAATAACAGACGCAGATTGGAATACGGCGCTGAAGCATCTGTTTTCAATCAGGACTAACATTTTAAAGGGCGTGAAATCCCTGGATGATCGCAGAACTGGATCTTTTTTGCTTTACGTGAGCCGTCTACATAAAGGACATACAAATGAGAGGAAAAGTAAACAGATACGTCGTTTTTAATTCGCGTTAAACAGGAAAACAAGATGGCTGATGAGCGATAACAAGGGCCAAACGATATCGTCTCTTTTAAGAGCAACAAAGGTATCTGGCTTTAATACATGAATATTTTAGGCGAGTTCGCTTCGTCAAATTAAAATACATGACATTAGGCTCTAAAAATGAATGCAATCCGTCTCTGGTAAGTGCGGCCAGGTAAACATCAGGCGAAACATGGACAGGGATCAGGTTGAGGATCATTCTGTAATGTTTAACCAACATAGATAGCGAGAGAATAGCTTTGATAATGATAAAATCGCAGCTCTTTGTGGTTTAATGCTACGAGAGCATGTTGCCATACATGTATACGCGTCAATTGTATGTTCATTTAAAGTCGTGTCACTATAATAGATAAAATAGTCTTTCTAGTTCTACCGGCTGCCTCTCTTATAGTTGCAGGGAACAGAAATCCTATCGATATAGTGTTACACGAGCAGCACAGAGGCTCAGGTCTACTTTATTATAATTCCAGCAGGGCAAATGTCATGTGCCCTGGGCACAAATCAAATGCGTGATCGACTGCTTCAGTGAATGACTGTAAGTTACAGCTGCTTACGAAAGGACGTTTTCAGCGCTTCGAGAACTTGTGGCGCCACCCTTTTCCTGTTTTAAACTCAGCAAAATACTACATGCTTCCGACGGTAAGGCATTTTCATGTGGATTTAACTGATCTTATCTTGACTGACACTGGATATTAGACGATGTCGTAGCCTTTAACTAGTAGTTTAGTTATCTTTCAGCGGATAGTCAGGCATCTGTCACTGAGACATTTATCGCGTGCTCCGTCTGTCTCTGGGGTTTGATTTGGGTGCCATAATTGGAAATACACTGATAATTGGTTTGACCGATACTTTTTTTAACACATATTCAAGCTTCTACTCGGTTATCGGTTGTTTTGACCGATAAATGGCTTAATTTACGGTGTCTCTGAAGAATAGCGTCCGATAACGGTATTTACAGGTAAAGTAACCGTTTTTAATATATTGCTTGGATTTCTTTTTTAAAATAATAGTCATTCATTCAGAAGGGAGAAATGTGTAGCCCAACACAAAGACGAAAGTAAATGTGCCACTATTTGGATCACAAACAACTTTGCATACATTAAATTACTATTATTATTGTGGTAATAAACTATTCATACTGCGTTTTATGCTTTTATTTAGTTCTCAGACTGTCAAAAGCTATTACAAATCGGATATAAAGTTCGTAAAACTAACACCGTGGTTATAATGATTTTTCATAATAGCATTTTAGATTAGTTGAGCAATTTTCTGTAATGTTTCGCTCGCCCTAAATTATCACCATAAGTAGTGTTCTTTTGTCGATAGATTGTCGAAGTTTATCTCGTTAATAGAAAGAACCCTGAACGCCAGATTCCTGCTTTCACGCCCGGCTGTGGTATTTGATTGCTGACTAACTTTGCCAGGAGCAGAAACGCTCCCTTGGCATGTTTGGGTCTGATCAACAGCTGTTTCTCTGGGGCTTCTGTGCTCGTATGGTCTTCATCTACTGACCTAACACTTGGATCTAAATGAAGGAGTCACGAGAATGAGCGAAACCTTGTTGGGACGGTGCTAGAACTTGATGTTTGCCTTCTGCGAGCGGATCAACTCAAAACTGGATGTCTGATCAACTGGTTGAGATGGCTGAGAACTGGCGGAACTGCTTCGAGGAGGAACTCATTTGTCCCATTTGTTAAATTATCACCATAAGTAGTGTTCTTTTGTCGATAGATTGTCGAAGTTTATCTCGTTAATAGAAAGAACCCTGAACGCCAGATTCCTGCTTTCACGCCCGGCTGTGGTATTTGATTGCTGACTAACTTTGCCAGGAGCAGAAACGCTCGCTTGGCATGTTTGGGTCTGATCAACAGCTGTTTCTCTGGGGCTTCTGTGCTCGTATGGTCTTCATCTACTGACCTAACACTTGGATCTAAATGAAGGAGTCACGAGAATGAGCGAAACCTTGTTGGGACGGTGCTAGAACTTGATGTTTGCCTTCCGCGAGCGGATCAACTCAAAACTTGATGTCTGATCAACTGGTTGAGATGGCTGAGAACTGGCGTAACTGCTTCGAGGAGGAGCTCATTTGTCCCATTTGTTTGCATGTGTTCGTGGAGCCCGTGCAGCTGCCGTGCAAACACAACTTCTGCCGGGGCTGCATCAGCGAGGCCTGGGCCAAAGACACGGCCAACGTGCGCTGCCCGGAGTGCAACCATGCGTACAACCAGAAACCAAACCTGGAGAAAAACATCAAACTGACTAATATTGTAGAAAAGTTTAACGCGCTGAACGTCGAGAAAGCTCCGGCCGTATTGCATTGCATTCTGTGTAGGCGAGGGCCTCCTCTTCAAGCGCAAAAAGTGTGTCTTCGTTGTAATGCACCGTGTTGCCAGTCTCACATCCAGACGCATCTCCAGCAGCCCTGTCCCGCTCCTGGACACCTCCTGGTGGGGGCTGAGGAGGTCCGGGCCTGGAGCTGCTCGCACCACGATGAGTACAGACTCTATCACTGCGATGTGGAACAGGTGGCGATCTGCCAGTACTGCTGCTTCTCCAGATGTGCTCCCAACCACGGGCATGCGGTGTGCGACGTGGAAGTACGACGCAATGATATCAGGGTGAGTGCTCTACTCTGAACTTCTCTGTAGGGGTGTAACTAGACTCCTCCTGCATCAGGGACTGAGCCGACAGTCCATTTTAGACATCAGAGGTATACTGTGTATCAAGTTAACCTGGTTAACTCATTCCCTTAACTGGTTTGCAGCCCTGTGAAATGCGTGACCCCTTTATGAAATTGGTGTATTACCTATAATAAACTTTGCTAACATATAATAATTAATTTTAATACATGGTTCTAGAAATTTCTTTTGAGGGAGATAAGATAATCCAGTGCGAATGTGCACAAAGGCATGTTTAGAGTTTTAGGGGCCCTCAGCAAGTGGTCCCTGGGGGCCCCCTCGGTAGAAAGCGTGATCGATTCCCCTCTGTAGAAATCGCGTTCAGGTGCCTAAACATGCTACTTACTGTGCAAATTAAAGTCGGTACCAGCAGATCTTTTCTTCCATATGGTGGTGTACATTTGAGTGAAAGGGATTATTTGAAAAAGAATAAAATATAGGGCGGGGACTTGGTTTAATCCATTGTTTGTTGATTGTATGGAGGCAGATATAAGCGGACTGAATGATTGAAGAGATCCTGCGTATGTCATCAAAGAGAACTGTTGTTTCATGGGAAGATGGAGTTATGACATTTTGATTAAAATTTACAAGGACAAAATGGGAAAAAAAGTAACATATGCATAGATGAATTGTTCACATAAGATCATTAAGATGTATTTATACGTTTTTAATAAACTTTTCACTGAAAAAATGAAACCAAGATTAAATTTTTCATTTAGCCAGAAATTGAAACTGAAAATAAAGTTTTTTGCGTAACTGGGTAATGCTGTTCCAAGTGTCTTGTGCTCAGTTAGCTGAACAAATATTACATATTACTATTTAGCATTATTTTTGGTCTTATGTGCCTCAACATTGCTGACAAATTTACCTGTTGTAGTAGATTATTCATGTTGTGTGCATGAAATAGACACTAACATGGTCAAATGCATCATCAGAGAAGTGCTTAATAAATGTCACTGTATGGGCCAGTGGTTTCAGCCCGCCAAAACCAAAAATTATTTTTTGGTGTTTCAGCCAAATATTTTTGTTTGACGAAATTGCATTAGCCTACTTATTTAAACAAAATGTTAGAAAGTTCCTGAAAGCTGGTTTCAAGGACAATTCATTTTCATATAATGTAGGAAAATGCATTCATTTAATAATGTTTCATTGTGCATATGTATTATCCATTTATACTGTAGTAATAAACAGTAGTAAGAGAAAGTACTTTAGTATTACATAGTACAAACTGATATTTATACACTGTAACATCTAATCGCAGTAATGTGAAAATTTTGGCTTAATGAGGAGCCAAATTTAGCCTAATTATTGCAAAAACCTAAGTACTGAGGACTTGAAAGGACAGAACTTTGTCTCCCTAATCAGTTTCATGTTTTTTTCATCATGAACGGACTCATTGGATATGGATGGGGTGGAGGAGTGAACTTCCTTTCAAAGGCTGAAGTAATCACTTCCTCTTGAAACATTAGTTGTGCTGGAACATGAGTTTATGCTACCATTCCTAGTTACTTCTGTCATAACCTGAGTCTCTTTGCCCAATCAGCCGAATGTTAACACTCGTCAGAGCGAGAAATATTGGGACTTCTGCTTTATAGTTAACAGTGACTGATAGCCCCAAAATGTGTTAGAATAAGTGTTTAAAAAACTAGCTTTAGGGCCATTTGTAATGTTCGGTAGCTTTATTGTTCAGGACAACTAAAATCTTTGGTTATATTTGTTCCATAGGTTTATCAATTTAAAATGGACACTTTAAGTACTTTAATATCTAAAATCTAATTTTAAAGGTAAATGATTTCAAAATTAAGAATTAAAAAGTAAATCTATGCTAAGAATTTAGTTTTTGTCTCCAAAGAGGGTTATTCTCAGAGTGCTTGATTTGAAATGTTCACTGCAAATGCCACCTACACATATTTTCTTCTTTCCTGTGAGACTGATTGCCAAATAGCAGAAAGAAATAATGAGCTTGTCCATAAAACAGGCTATGCAGAGTAGCACTTCACAGAGGAATACTTATCTTGTTTGCTTTATAGATGAGACTATTTACATAGACTTGTCATCTTAAAGTTTTTATCTCAACATCAAGTTCTTGAATATTGGAAAACTGAATGCTTGATAATCATATACTAGCAAATACATACAATGTGGTCCAAAAGTCCACTTAAATTGATGTGAATGGAGAAATGTTTCAGATTTCTAGGTCACTAATTAAATAAGTAAACGTGACATTGATCATGTGACGTTTTGTCCAGATGGTCAGATGTTATTCGTTCAGTGAGGCTCTTTGGATCATCTCAAATCATGCTGGAGAACATGATCATCAGGTTTCACAAAAACTTAATGCAACTCGAGTGCAGCTGCCCTTAAAGGAAAAGAGACAAAACAAATACAAAGGCAATTAGAAATTAATGTTCACTTTTCAGTTCAACTCAAATTGTTATGCTGATAACATAATTTGCAAAGTGAAAGAATGGCTTTTGTAAAGACATCTTTCTGTTTTTATTTCCTGAAATGATTTGTCTTGATCCCCAAAGCTACTTATTAAAAGCTTTTTACCTATCAAATAAACTGTGATGGATATGCTAATGAGAAAATTAGCTGAGACATTCTGCAGTGTAGGAGTGAGAAAAAAAACACTGTTCCTTCAGCTGCCTCCCAGAATAATGAACTGTTGTCAGGTGAGCTGCTGCTGGACTTGGCAGGGACGACTTCTGGATGCGTGGAGGAATGCTTTTTAGATGGCCAATGTGTCATGGCTCCTAAAGCAGCCAAGTGTCTGTAAAAGGAGGAGGAAAGAGAGGGAGGAAATGGACTCAAGGCTTGCTCTACCCACAGCTGCTGTTGAAAGACACACACATCCCTCTGTTCTTTCTTTCGCAAGTGCATAAATTTAGAGAGTGTGACTCAAGTGGACCCACAGTAAAACTGCCTGGCCTTCTTTGCTCCCTCGCCTCTTGTTCAGGAATAGGACGTAGAGTTCCAGGCAGACACAGGAAGGGAGTGACCTCTCTGCTCCGTTCCCAATAATCCAACTCCTGTTCGCAGGGATGAGATCATGGGAGATCCGATGGAGGATCACCCCACTGTCTCTTTTCCTCCTCCTCTTCTTTCTTTTCCCCTTTTTTATGACTGAAATCCGTTTACTCTTTTGGATGGTCCGATGACATTCACGCTCCATAAAATAACTTCCACCATTAACTGTGTTTTAAATATAGGACACAAGCAGTGAGGAATTATGCGTGGATGGCTGGCTCAGCCCACATTTGTCCATTTTCTGGAAATTAGTCATACTCTCAGATCATTCGAAATGTAATTGTCCTCCAGATTTTGCTCCAGAAAGACTTGAAAATTGATTGTGGTGTCACTGAATAATTTGAGAGGCCATTCTTATCACACCGCTGCACGCAGGCAAGCCCGGACAGCGTATATGACTCTCGCAGTCGGCCTTGAGAAACGTTTAGTACAGTCAGATGACTTCAGATGTTTGGAATCACAGTCATATTATTGTGAAAGTGGTGTATACCATTCACTGTTTGCACCCGTGACATGTAGGCTCTGCATAGGATCACATAAACACATAATCATTTAGTGGAAAGTGTTCTGAAATGAACTGCAAAAGCAAACCTTGAGTGAAACGAGTCTAGTAGGAAAATAAGGAGGATGTGGAGTAGTAAGCAAGTTTGCCTTATAGGGATGGGCGATATCTTATCGTTTGCGATATACCGGTAAAAATTCTCCACAATAAGGCAGAAATCATACTATTTTATAGCATTATATACAGTGATAAAGGCTATGTCGATTAGCATTGCATTATAAATATACTTTATCCTTATAAAAAATACACAAGATTGCTTGAAGAACACAGATACCATATATTTTGTGCAATCAATCGCATGTTTATTGTCTTCAGGTTTCCTCAGTTAAAATTTCTCGATCTGCGTTTTATTCAGCTACAACGATCACTTCTTCCTGGATGTAAAAATAGGAAAGATAATACTTTTCTCTAAAGAAACAGGATTCCCTAAATTATCGTCATTGATATCGTTATCGCAATAAATATCAGAAATTATCGTGATATATTTTTAAGCCCATATCGCCCATCCCTATTGCCTTATCTATTAGGCACGTTGCCGGCAATGTCTTTTGTGATGGCAATTCATCTGGACAAAGCTGCTGCTGCAGATGAATGTGCGATGTGATTATGTGGAAGCAGTTTGTACTGTAATATATGGTGCTTTGCTTCATCATGCCGTGTGCCGTGCCATTTCCCATTGTCATCATGCCTCTGCCAAGATGATATTAGTTTTTTTCAGAATATTAGATAAACTCTTCAGATTTAACAAACTGGTTGAAACAAGCAAGGTAACTTCCATCCACCTTTCATGTTTATGTTTTAATTAAAAAAAATTTTTTTTACGATAAATATCATTTATTACAAAAGTAAGATGTGTATCTTTAACTACATGTTGTTGTATTTTGAGACAAACTAGCTGGATAGAACAACTTTGCAGTTCAGTAAGTAAATCAGATGTTGATTCAGTAACCACTCTTTCTAATTAAGTGAGTTCTTTCAGTGAAGGATTTGTCAGGCCATTGTTAAACTGCTAACGTGTGATTCTTTTTAAATGATTAATTCAAATGAATTCTAATTTATTTTGTGAAAGTGGTGGTGAAAAGCAGTACAGAAAACGCTTGTGTAAGCATATTGAGCACATCTAAAAGTAAGGTTGTTGAATATAGAGATACTTTATACATACAGAAATCAATTTCAGGATGAACGATCAGGTGGAGGATACAGTTCTGTCAGCAATTCCAGATAAGCTTTTAGATGGATTCAGTTATAAAGTCTGAATCTACCCTTAGTTACAATAGAGCATCTCCACCGAGGTAATTTAGGCTTTATAAATTAAAGCCCCATTGTTGAACATTATTGAACTACACAG